AGTGGTTGAGCCTCTGTTTAGAGGAGCAATTTATTTTTCAAAGTTGTTGAGTTTCTGTTGTTGAGCCTCTACTTAGAGGAGCTTTGATCAAAATTTTAACCAAAAAAAAAAAGAAAAAAAAGCAAAAAAAAAAGTCAAGTTGAGTCTTAAATGGGTGTTTATGTCTTTGCACAATTCTTATTTCACAAAAAATGTGCAAAGAGGGGTAGCTATAGACACCCTATATTGTCCAGGGTTCTTTGTCAATCGAGACTAATCTAAGCTTGGTTGTAGGGATTTTTTATTTTAAATTTTTTATTTTGTATTTATGATTTTTTGGTGGTCTATTTATTGTTTAATTTCTTTTCTTTCTCCATTATCTGATTATTTAAAAAAAAAAAAGCTGAAACAATGAGATTAGGATTGGTACTAATTTTTAGCTTTGGATGATATCAAGAATTGCACTAAAACTAAATCATATAGTTTTATAAATGATTGCAATTTATAGCAAGAAGGACGGCATCAGCAACAGGGAGGTGATGAAGGTTAAGTGACCAAAAGAGAAACCCAACATAAACTAAGAAAAAAAAAAGGTATAAGAGAGAAATTTGAAAGATGGGATACGGAGTTTCCTGGAGGAACTTATCTAGTTGAAGAAATCGCTCTTTCTTGTTCTTCTATTAACCAAAACAACCCTTATTCTTCCTCTTGTTACGCACTTTGCCACGGCCCCACCACAACATCATCACATCATCAACACCGTAACATTTTTCACCGGTCACTCGCACTGATTCCCGTCAGTTACTTCCACCTCCCAGAGAACGTTGATTCGGTGGCCTTAAATTCCAAGGGCATTTTTGCTACATGCGCTATCTCCTTTGACTCCTATGTGGCTAGTTTACGATTTTGAAAACGTTAAGAATCTTTGAGATTGAGTGCTTAAAAAAAGAGTTGAGACACGTTTCAAAGCAGCTAGCAGACCTGGAATGAGAGTGTTCACAGCTTAAGAAGGAAAGAAATAAGAAAGATCATCTTGCATTTGTGGATTCAAAGAATGATGTGAACGTTGCTAATTTAATGGGTCGAGGATTGCAAACTTAAAACATGGAATCCCTGTTGCAGCTCATCATAAGGTTATCCAAAAATTTCCAAATGCAAAATTTTTTGATGATCAGGTTGGCCTGAATACAGCTAAGTTAAGTTGTAAGGAAATTGGAGTTCAGACAAATCTAAGTGCTTGTCTTGATCTTTCTAAGAAGTTGCATGGCATCTGGGATTTACCAACTGACCAAAAGTTTAGAAAAAATCTGATAGCCAAGTTGTTTGCAGTTTGTTCCACAGATATTGACATCCTATTTGGGTTCATTAATATGAACTCACCTTCTAAAACAATGGAACCACAGGTATTTAAGAGCTCTTTTGATAAGGCTTTACAGAGTTATGTGCATCCTGTTCTTAGTTCTGAAGCTACAAAAGTATCTTGTTTCTACTCTTCTTTGACTAAGATCAATAGTGGAATGTTGCAATTGAAGGCTCTATTTGAGTCGTTGTTTGATCTCTATAATGTTGAAAATGCAGTTATTGCTTATAGATCGCTCCATATACTACATGTCTTGCTGAAGCATCTTTTGACTTTTGAAAGGAATCCTGAAGCAAGCAATAAAAAATGGCAACAAGAGTACAGAGATTAGGGAATGATCATAGGAATAAAAAAAAACTGAAATCCACGGCACCACCAATTCCCACCAAGCTAATTTTACTGTCGTCTCCACCTTGCCATCCTTCCATCATTGATAATTCACCTCGAAATGGTTCATTTCATCTCTTAACTAGTCTCCTTTCTTTGAATGGTATTAAGATCTTCAATCCAAATGGCTCGTAAGAAGATCAGAGAGTACCATTCCAAGAGACTTCTGAAAGAGCACCTCAAATGCCTAGCTAATATTCATCTCCAGATTTGTTCTGCCCAGGTGACACAATCCACTGATTCCACTCAGTTAGTAAACCAAGAACCATGGTTTCCATCCACTGGATTGGTTGCTAAGCCAGATATGTTTGAGAAGCGTGGAAAGAAGGCTTGGTTGCTCTCAATTTAGATCTTGCTCTAGTTACTGAATTCGTCAAAGCACGCCTTAGCATTGAAGTTAAGATGGGTGGTTGCGAAGCTTTTATAACCACTTTCATTATTGAACCTTTTGTCCCCCATGAAGAAGAGTATTACTTTTCAATTGTCTCTGAAAGGCTTGGCTCAACCTTTAGCTTTTCAGAATGTGGAGGCATCAAAATTGAAGAGAACTGGGATAAGGTTAAGACCATTTTCCTTTCATCTGAGAAACCTATGACCCTCGAGACGTACACGCCATTGATAGCTACATTCCCTTTTAAAGTTCGAGGAAAGATTGGTGACTTCATCATGGCTATCTTTTCTGTCTTTCAAGATCTCGATTTCAGCTTTATGGAGATGAATCCATTTACGCTGGTGAATAGAGAACCATACCCACTGGATATGAGGGGAGAGTTGGATGACACTGCTGCATTCAAGAACTTTAATAAGTGGGGTAACATAGAGTTTCCCTTGCTTTTTGGAAAAGCCTTGAGCCCAACAGAAAGCTTCATTCATTCATTGGAGGAAAAGACGAGTGCATCCCTGAAATTCACTATTTTGAATCCAAAAGGGTGTATCTGGACAATGGTTGCTGAAGGTGAGGAAATTTTCTTAATTTTTTACTAAAAGTATTAGAGTCAATTGAGATTAATTTCCAACAATTAATTACTTGGTAAATTTTTAAGGCTTATTGGATAACACAAAATTAAGCTGGTACCATCTTTCGATGAGCGTTGTAAGGGTGCTATAACCTTTTTCATACGTAACTGTACTCACGAATTTTGTTTTAGTTTGTAGACCTGAACCTATTCTTTTAGGGACCCTTAGGCTTAGGTGTTTCTTAAAAGGATAGATTCCTTAGGTGACCAATCGCACCTAAATAAAAAAGATTGGTAGCGATTCTTTCAAGTCAATATCTAGCGATGGATCCCTAAATTTAGACGTTATGGCAATATAAATAATTTTAATACGAATATGACATTAATATTTCAATAACATGAATAACCTAAATATAAAATCGATATGTTTATTATATTCGTTACATGCTAACTAATACATTTAAAATTAATTTGTTTAATATAACTCAAGTAATGTTACTCGACACGACACGATTCATATAATTAAACATAAATAGCACAATTAGATGTGCTTAATTTATTTATTTAAAAAATATTATTTAAATTAGTATTTAAACAAAAAATTATTTAAAAATTAAAAATTTATAATTTATTTAAATACTGAAATGATACGATAAATATGATTATTAATTTATTTAAAAAATAAATTAAAATAATTTTTATAGTTTATATGTTAGATATGCTTACATGAATAATATCATATCTTAAATATGTCATCACTATTTGACACAAATAAGATACAAATAATATCATGTTTTAATCATGTTGATATGATTAAAATACAAAATATAATTATATTAAATTTATACATAGTTTTTTATATTATTTTATATTATATTATTGTATCATATTTAAAATTATCAAATTTGTTTAATAGGAAAATTACAAAATCTAGACCTGACACCTCAAATCAACAGCAGTAGAATTTACAGTAGGACAACATCAACCTAAAGTCAGAAAAGGGATAAAAAAAAAAAAAATTAGCGGTTACAACCATGCCACAATAATTTCAAAACGACCAACTCCCGCTTTAGTTAAAGAATCTGCAAAAACATTAGATTCTATAAATCTGACAATGCAGAAAGCCCCCAAGTGATCCGTCCGAGGTAGAAAATTCCAAAGTTCGACAATCTGGTGTCCTTTGCACACCTGGTAAAGGCACCAACAGGGCTAGATTTAATGGTTAAATTACCTCCTACATACATTCTTAGTCCCACAAAAATCTCCAAGGCCGTTTGAATAACTATTAACTCAGCATGTCTCTTTGATAGCTAATAACATCTCTAAGGCCTTTGTTAGCTACTTTGTTGAAAACCCCAGCGACAAACCAATTTTCAACAAGGGTGTTTCTCAGCCCTAAAATATCCTCTCATACTGCTCTCTTCACCTTTGTCTAACAAAAGCAAAGCCACTGCAAACCACGCAATTGCATCCCTAAGTTATCCATCTCCCTTGAACCATCAAAATCGACAATTAACACTCGTGTCTAGTTAAAAACACTTTTTATCCCATGCCAACAGCAACCCACCAGACAGACCCGACGAAGCAACAAAAAATCCATTCAAACTCACATCTTACCCAAAAATTCATACCTTGAAACTTTTTAATCTTTACCATTTTAATTTCCTGCAATAAAAACATCTCAACACGAAATTAAATAAACAGTTTCTTTAAATTCTCCTTTTAACAGCACTTTCTATACCCTAAATGTTCCAGCGCAGGATCCTCAATGTATTAAACAACACCCACAAAATAAACAGTTAATAATTTAAAATGTGATGTATCCCACATTAACTAAAAAGATAATTTATATGTAGTTTAAATGAGACTACTTGTGTTATTTAAGTTAATTAATGTTGTTTAAATACTTGAATCAAATGTTGGTGTGAGCCAATCCTAGTGAGCTAAATATTTTAAAGCCCAAAGATTGAGCACTTAAGCTTGTTTAATAAATAAATTTATTTTTTGTTTGCATCTTTTACTCTTTTAAATTTTAGAATATTAATAAAATATTATTTTTATTCTAAATAAATATATTTTTATTAACATTTTAAACTACAATTTTACATCTTCTTCTGTATTATTTTTATACCCTTTTATCATATCAACGTATTTAAAAGTACCGAATCTTTTTTTTTTGGGAGGGATAGATAATCAAACTTAACTGTACTATGTCAAAACAAAGTTTGCACACACAAAACATTTCCTTCTTTATCTGCATCTCTAGCTTATTTTTTTACTTTGTCAGTACAAGTTGATCCTATTATCGAATCTAAAGTCTAAACGGGGTTGAACAATGAAGAATTCACACAATCTATGTTTGCCTTGCTTTGAATGCCAAACCAATCACCGAAGTGATACATTCGTTGAACACATCTTGTCATTGCCATTGCAGCATTGGCAAATCCAACCGGAAGAGAATGATGTACAATAAACTTGTTTAACTTTTTCCATGAATCACTTACTAAGCCTTTTATGTGAGCTCGTGCTTCTTCTTCAGACACCCCTTCTTGAATCATGTGACATTGGATTGAATTTGTTGTCTCTCCTCTTTCCATCTCCATCTTCAAAATGGTCCAATAATATCAAGTTAGAAGAAGTTTTTTTTTTTTTTTTTTTGCAATGAATTGTATTTTATTCATTCTGAATGGATAAAAGCTTTCCCCCTTGTTTTTGACTGAAATATGTGAAACTGATATCCGAGATTTGATTCTTTGCAAGAAAGCTAACTAATTAAGACATAGCTTATTTAATGTTTTTGCTATTTACTCCTTATTTTAAAAAAAAAAATGAATAGAAACCGAAAAGAAAAAGCTAAATAATGATTAAAAAAAAGGCAAAATAACAAATAAAAAAAATCGATCAAACAAAATCTAAAAATATCTCACAATTTTCATGCACTAAAGTGATGTTTGAAAGTGACTCTGTTAGCGATTAATCAAGTTTTTGGGAGTAGGACGTGATTATTGAAGATATCAATGAAATGACTAAGGTTAAAATAAGGTATTTGCCAACATTCATGTGATTTGTTAACAGAGTATGAAATTTTTAATTTTATTGGTAAGAGTTTAATTCTAGCACCATCGACCCGTGCAGTCCCTTGGCTTTTTTATTTTATTTTATTTTTTTATAAAAAAGGCTTTTCAATAGAATAAATAGCGATTTGCATACCTTGGAAGTTGTTAAATCATCCAAAAGTCGGGCGATTAAGGAAGGCCAATAAAATAACTCAGATTCATGCCAATGCTCGAAGAATTGTAATGGAAAATTACGATGTGATTTGGAATCCTCTAGCACTCCAAGGAATGCGTAGGCCAAGCCCACAGAAATGCCGATTGAGATCCATGCATTTTTAAAATATTCATCCAAAGTAGGCATGTATCCACCATTATGCCATCCTGCTTCTACATGCAACGATCTTGAATAACACACCCACTGCAATAATTATAATTAATTAAGAGAAAAATTCTTCATAATTAGCAATATCATTAATAAAGAATAATCATAATTAAATAATAATTGTTTTTTAATTAACAAAAACTTTATTAGTTTGGTAAAAATTAAAAAATAAGATGTATTTGGTGTTAGCGTGTTGACATGAATTTAATATGATAATTTTTTTATTTTATACATGTTTAACTTAAAACAGATACGATACGAATACATAAATTATCAAAAAATTATTAATCATGACATTTAGTTTTAAAAGAGATCAACTTATATTATTTGTGATGTTATTTTTATAAGATTATGTTATTATATTTATTAATATTATATATATGCAAGTATATACTAACAAAAAATTCACACAAAATTATAAATGTTATCGATCAATAAAAAAATATATAAATAAAAACATCAAATAAATAATTTTATTAAAAATTATGAGTGACAATCCTTTTATAAATAAATCAAATGTTAAGCAACATATTTTCATAAAAAAAAAAGAATCTATCTTTCAAAAAGTAAAATTAAAGCTTTGAAATTAAAAGTTAAGTGATTTCTAAGATGTCCAGTGATATAAAAGAAATAGATAAAAAGTAGAACTACATGTGAAGAATAACATGAAGTGAAGAAGTTGTAATTTGTTAAAAAAAAAATTGATAATTGGTTAGAGATTTGGAGTTTTGTTGAGAAAATTGGGAGTCAATTTAATTTTTTTTAAGTTTACATGATTGTAATTTAACCTTATGATAAATTTATTGATTTTAAGGATGTTTAAGTAATGATTTATGAGTATAATAAATAAATAAATAACAATATAATTTTCATCCTTTTTACAATACATAAAAATAGACTGAGACTACAAATAATAAATAAAAAAATTATAAAATTTTAGTTTGAGACTTTCAAGAAGCAATTTAAATTTATTTAATATAAATAAATATATGTATAGACCCACTAAGAGGATTTTTAAATTTTAAAGGGGGCCAAGGCTCCCTCTGGCTCCTTAACTAATCTGTCATTGTTATCAAGTCTAAAATTGCCTTTTAGAGTATATTAAAAAAGTTAATAATAAAATAATGATAAATAAAAAGGCATGTGGTAATAGTTTAATTCTTGTAATATTGGAGTATGATTAAACACTATGCAAAAGGTATATAAAATAAAAGTCCTTTACTTAGTTAATTACAACTTGTATTTCATAATTGGCTAGCATTGTATTCCTACCTGATCCCTGATATAGGGTAGAATATCTAAGCCAAGATCATTTGAGGCATCCTCGACCATTTCGTTGACATGGTTGTACATGGCTGAGTAGCATACTTTCATATACTCTGGAAGTTCCTCCATAGCCTCAAGATCCCACCTGCACCGCAAAATTTTTTTGGCATATATGGTAAGGTTGTTTTGTTGATACTTTTATTATTTAATTTTTAGTTTTGAAAAATTAGTATAAAGCAAAAGCAAAGGAGGACTAATAATATCATATACTATCGATTTAAAATTAACAAATAATAAAAATATAATATCAATTATATAACATAATTGATCCATATAGCAGTAAAATCTTGCGTTTTACATCTAAAATTTATATATTTTGCGTAAAATAATTATTCAAAAGCAAATAAACCCTTAATATTTTTGTATGAAATTAAAGTTATGAACTTTTATTTTGTTATAATTAGAACTTTAACAGTATAAAATAATCAACTTTTTTAATTGATTGATTTAATTTGTAGAAAATACTTAAATTTATTTGGGTGAGTTAAATGACAAATATTTTTAAAAATATTATTTTAAAAATTCTATCAATTTGATATTAAAGATTGAATGAATATAATTACATTAAAATAAAAGTTTATAGTCTTAATTTTTTGTAATAAAAGATCGAGAACTTGTTTGCTTTTTGAAGTAAAGTTTGAGAGTTTATTTGTATATTAAACCAATATAAAAAATATCAAATAAATAGAGTCTAAGTTAATTGTTAGGAAAATTTGAAGTATATATAAATAAAAGTTAAATCTGAAAGTTAATTACCTATTCACTGCATTTGTATATGCATCAAGCTCATCCATCGAACCATAAATGTCATATACATCATCTAAGACTGTTGTCAAACTTCCAAATTTTGTGAGGTTCCTCCTGCATTTGTAGAATTGTGGCTCTGGAACACTCCCCGTTGCCCAAAAATAACACTCAACCATCCGATCTCGTGCGAATGGTAACTTTTCCTTGATGTTCAAATCCTTCCACCACCTGTATCAATTGTAATAATACTTAACCCTATGTACGTAAGCTAGCTTTATTTATAATGAAATTTTTAGATGTCCACGTACTATATTAAATTTAATTATTTAATAAATTTCAAGAGAAATTAACAAATTTATTTAACTTAGACTTTTTTATAATCTAATCAACGTAAGTATCTCCAGGTTTTATTTGTGTTTAATTCTCTCCCTAACTGATTTTAAAGATGTACTCTTCATATTGATATGATATATTTAAAATTTTACTTGATAGAAAGAAAGAAAATTCCTTTTTTTTTTATAAGTTTGAACTGTAACACTTTTTCTTATAAAAAGTTAAAAAAAAAGTAGCAAGTGCTAAAGTGATTACATATATAGAAAAATTTATAAAACTAAAAAGTTTTACAACGTTGTAAATTAATCCCTTTCTTATATATATATATATTGAGGATAAATCTCACTCTGCGAGCTCCCTTAGCTCCTTGAGGTAAACCGACTGCAAGAGATTGAAGTCCAACTTAGCAAGTTCGAGCAAAAGGAAGTTCCTTTTAGCATCCTTTTGGTAGATACTGATGAAGTTTCGAGCTTCCATTCTAGGCAGCCTCCAATATATTGGAACGTGAAGCGATTCTTTTACTTGCTCCGCTAAATCATTCTCCAACTTCTCCATTACTAATTTTAGATGTTTAGTGCTAAACGTTTGGGCCTCATCTAAAACATCTTCTCCATGCTGCCCAAGGTATGAAGCTTCGTACAAGCTCAACAGCCCATCTACATCTTCTCTTAAGCTGTCTTTGAACTTCCCATCACTGTCCATGAACTTGTTAAACACATCTGCTTTTTCACCATGAGCAAGTTTATACATTAAATAAAAAATATTAATGGATAATTTATGATAGTCATTAAAATTTGTACAATCTGGAGTTGCGTAGTTTGATAGTCATTATACACATAGTAACATCGTCGGGAATATCTTCAGGCTTTGTCGGTCAATCTCTTTTTAAAACAATCGTAAGGGCACATTCCCTCATATAGGCCTAATGCGTTAGGATTTTTTGCTTGGAATGTTTCTCGCAAGAAATCGAATCTTTGATAATTTGACAAGGAAAGGGAGGTTCTCTCCTTAGCAACCAACTCCGCTTATAGTAATTGTTCATTAATATTTTCGCGAAGGATACACCCTAAATCTCATAACTTGAGACTTCATCTTAGAGAAAGGGATGATCCAGGGAGCTAAACCCACTGAAATCCTGAAAATTAATTTTAACCATTATGAAGTTACTCAAAATTTTAATGATTCTTGTAATTTGCCCTCATTAAAATATCAAAAAGTAAGTAAAATTATTAGAAATAAATCCAATGTATTTATTTATTTGTTTTAGACCCCATTAATTGTAAATATATATAAAAAAATACTTAAGTGTGAGTTTTTTATAATATTGAAAAGTATATGGATGTATTAAAAAATAAAAAAAAATTAGTAAAATAATGCTTCACAATATAAATATAAAGTTATTATACTAATATTATTGATAATTAATGTAATAAATTTGTCTTCACTAAGTATAAATTCTAGATACATCCCTGCATAGAGATCTCAAATTTGAATCTCGAAATAATGGGACGATGGAGATTTATAAGATGAAACAGTGTTACTTTCTATTTTGTAGCTCAAAATCGATTAATAATTTTTGAAATAGTTACCTGAGGTAATGAAGAAACCATTCTCACGCAGAAGCCGAAATTGCAGTGCGACAGTGTAGAGATCACAGGGAATATTCGGATTAACATGATCAAGAACCTCGTTTATCTCTTTTGCAAAATGTTTCGCCACTCCCAATCGTTGTATTGTATTGATGAGATCTAATTTTTCTTCAGTTTGATTTAAGGATGTCAACAAACACCTAGCAGCTTGCTTCAGCTCCTCCAAACGACTGCCATGACTCTCATACTGCAAAACTAGCCAGAGATAGGTAACGTTCCACAAATGAAAAGCAAAGTTTATGCTTCAAATGAAACACTTACAGTATACAGAGGGCTAAAGGACTTGATGAGTTCAGGGTCCCAAACAGTCGGAAGGTAACCGGCGGATCGCCGTTGAGTCACTTGCACTACATTGAAGTCCATAACTGTTGTCAAGTATATAACAATATAACTGGCTTTTGCTGCCTGCTTGTTCTTACTTGTAAGCTACATAGGGGTATTTATATGCAATTTAGGCAAATAACACTATTTGTAAATATTTAATTTTGTTCGCATGAATCGAAATAGATCCCTAATTACATTTGTGATTTTGATATGTCTAATTTAAACTCATTTGGATATTTTAATCATGTTTATTACATATTAGGTTCAATTATATATATTATTTTGTTAATTAATCATTAAAAAAATCATTTAAAAAGTTAAAAAAAAAAAAAAAAAAGAAGTGCTGTGACACTGGTAGAATCGGTAAAGAACTAAAATCCAACCATCCGCCAACCCATTTTTCTTTGCCAATCATCTGTCTATATCAAATTTTGTCAAAATTTGTAAAAAAACTTTTGGTGGTTTTGAAAAAAATTCCTCAATCCCAGATTTTCTAAGATTTAATTTCCTATTCAACCCTATAAATCCAACTTCCAAAAATTCAGAAAAAGACAGAAAGAATGATCGGTAGAACAGAGGCAATTGACAGAAAAAAAAAAAAAAAAAACTACCCAACCCTTCTGCCTGGATCGATCCAAGACCTACCAACACCCAAAATGTAGCCATAAAATTTTAAGCTACATGACCGAGGAGAGGCAACAAAAATATTTTTTAAAAAACCAGAAAATAAAAAAACTTGATCTAGGCATTTTGGGATTTTTTTTTTTTTGGAAACACTAATTGAAGGAAAGTGTTTAAGGGATTGAAAGAATCGTTTTGGTATTTTTTGGAGTTGCCAAATTTTGAAAAACTTTAAATTTTTTTGGTAATTGATTGAATTTTTCGGTCACAAGAATCTGAAAATTTTTTACATTTTTCGATGCTGATTAAAGTTTTCGACGATTGCACGATAGTGACCGATTCGAAATTGGGTTTACATGATGGTCGTTTAAGTATATCAGTTTTTTTAAAAAGAAGCTCTAGGGGAAGAGAGTGAGAGAAGAAAGGAAAAAAAATAAAGATTTCAAAGGCCTTTAAATAGGCTGCCAAAATGATATTGCTTTGGGCATCCATGCCCAGTGGATCGATCCATGCTCTGATTCAATCAGTTTGCAAGTTTTTTTTTTTTCTGATTTTTTTTAGTTTTGTTATTTTGTTGATTTTTTATTTGTTTCTGTAATTAGTTAAACAAATTAAACAAAAAATAAATAATTATTACTTTTTTAAAAGAAATGAGTAATAATTTTAATAAAAACATAAAAATCCAAATTAAATAGTAATTTTTAGTAAAAATTAATAACAAAAAAATGAAAATGGTGATGACCTAAAAAATAATTATTAATGAAAATTGAAAGGGTTCTAGTTTTCCTTAATTTTTATAGGTAAAGAATATTTTTTAAATTTCACCTAAGTGTTGGGATAATTTAAGAAATTATTATTGTTAGAAATAAATTTTTTTACAATGAATAAATTAAAAATAGTAGATTATTCGGATAAATCTTTTAAAATGTAATTTTAAAAAAAAATTGGTAATTTTGATCTTACCAAGGAGTTGAGATAATTTAAAATTTATTTTTATTAAAATAAAGATTTAATTTAATAACTAAAATAAATAAATAAATAATAAATAAAATATTTATTTAAATAAATCTTTTGAATGAAAAGTTTTAAGAAAAATTGGAAGAATCTTATTTTCCTTAATTATTATTAATAAAAAATGATTTTTTGAGGTTCTACAAAAGAATTGGGATAATTTTAAAATGAATTTTGCAAATAAAAGTTATATTTAAATACCATATAATAATAAATAGGTATAATAATTTATAAAAAAATAAAACAATCGTACTTAATTAATCTACTAATAATAATTTAATATAGTTCATCTGTAATTTTAATTTTACTGAAATATTTTATTTTTATTCATTTTAATTTTTTAAATTTATTTTTAACTTTGTCACATGACTTTGGAATGAAGAATTTTGTCAAGATTTGTAATAATAATTAACGGAACACAGGTCCATTTGAAAATGAAATATCGCAAAATGATTAGATATATTTGATGCTATTTGCTTTGAGTAAAACATCCAATCAATGATTATTTAATTAAACTGTTCAGGTCTCTTGATGACACCAGCAATGCTCCCCGCAATTCTAAACCATATGATTTGTAAGTTATTTAAACATAACTTGTTTTAAACTCGTATATTAATAAAATTTATATAAATATAAATTTTTTTAAATGGTAATATAAGTTCTGAAATTTATGAACAACTTATAATTTATATAATCATTTTTATTTAAATTTATATATTTAATATAATATAATTAATTAATTACATATTAAATATATTTATGCAATTATCATTGTTCTTTAGAAAATTCAAACTATAATTTATTGAAACCAAATAATCTCTAAATAAAAGACAATAATATTTTCGATTTTAATAAATTAAAATTTTCATCTTTAAATCAATATTGCATATAAACTTTTTTCATGAGAGATTCTTTTATAAGTTGTTATTGAAGTGAAGATGCAACAATTGATTCTCTAACATTTCTTGCAATTTTGAAATAGCTATTATTTTACTTGATGAGCCAATAAATTTCACAAATAGAGGTGAAAAGATAGACAAAACAATAATTTATAATTTAATAACAATTAAGTTATAATCTAGACTATATAACTTTATAACAAACATAATCATTATAATATATACATCTTCCAATAAATTTTGATATTCAAACTTATTCACTATAAGTTTGATATTACTTGTTTTAAGATTATACTTGGTTGGCTTCATTTCTAACACACAAATTTTACCTTTGAGATATTCAAATATCTCTTCAATTTTATAATCTCTATTTTCCTAAATCGTAAGTATAAATATATTATTTAATTAATTTAAATATTAAATAATATTAAAATAATTTTTAACTCAATATCTTAACAAATATTTTATAAAAATTGATAATATCTTTATTAATTAAATTTTTAGCTTTTGTATTGAACAATACGAGCATCAGTATTAAACAATACGAGCATCACCCTTTTAGAATTATCATATGCATTAATATTTAACTTATACCTATAAAAAATGTAAAATTCTACAATTATAAATATAATTTAATAATTTAAAATACTTTTACTATCATTATGAAATAATAATTTATTATGTATCAAATATAAAAAATATAAATACTAATTATTTTGGAGTTGGATCAGGGACATAATATTGCAAGAATAATATTGAAATTTCTTATCAATTTCAAATAGCTTTTTGTTACACTCACATGACATATAATACAAACCAAAAGTGGTATCAACTTTCATGATAGCAACTTTATTGGTGAAAGATTTTCCTTGTATATGTCCAATCATTTTTAAATTAATCATCAACAAAAAAATATTAAAAAAAGAATATTAATATCATAGTTAAAGAAATATAAAATATAAATATAAAATGAGAATAACCTTTGAGTTGCGTAGACTAAGAAATGATGTAAAGTAAAAATTAGAGAAAAAATTGAAGTAAAGTTGAGTAGTGATAAAAAAATATAAAATTAATGAAAAATGATCAAACATGCATTATGCTTGACTTATAACTATTTAAACAAAAGGTGTGTTGTTGGTTAATTAATAAGATAATTTTAAATTATAAAAGTTAATATTGAAATAATAAAAATGCTGAGTGAATAATGGTTTAACAATGGTAAGTTGATTGATATTAAAATATTTTATTCTGTCATTAATATTTAGAGATCTCTTAATTTAGAACAATAAAACAAATTAAATTTATTATATTTAATGATGGCAATAAAACAAATTAAATTTTAATTAAATCAATGTGCATTAATATTTAGATTTTAAAATTATAAAACATTACAAATGAAATAAAATGAAATCCTAGTTAGTTAATATTTATCAAATGAAATCAAATATGCATTAATATTTTATCAAATGAAATCATATTAATGATATATAAATCTATTTGTCAAATATAAATTAATAAAATATGTTATTTGATTAATTTAATTATGAAGAATTAATTTGATATATTTGCTTTCTATATTTACACATGAAATACATCATTACTCAGATGGATACTATATTTAATCAAAATATAAATGTATCAAATAATTTATTAGAGAATCAGTTATTTTACAATTATAATTATAGTATTATTAAATTATTAATTAAATATTAATTGATTTAATTTGTTAAATTAAAATTTTTTTAAATGTTCAATATTTTTTATATGAATTGAATTGAAAGTAATTTCAGGTTAATAATAAAAATATAAATATAAATAATTTAATTTTTTGAATTATTTTTAAATTAAAAACATATTAAATAAACTAAAATGTATTTATTTGATGTTATGTGACATTTTTAAGATCGTCTATATGTTAATATTTTAAATCATTTACATAAAATTTTTTTTATTTTTACCAAAATCTTTGATTTTTATATATTAATATAAGATTAAAGTTAATCCAAATACTGTGCAGTTTTGTTGTGTACCTAAAAAAATAATTAAAGAAACTTTTCTTTTTTATCAACTTGCTCCCGGCAATTCTAAACCATTTATTTTGAAAGCGTATCTAAATCATTGTGGATCACTTGCACTGGAGTAGGGTCCATTATGATTCTCAAAGGGGACAATATCGCTTATATTTGTGAAAGATTTTCAAATATGTAGGACATATAGAGTGAAATAACATTCACATGCCTGGTGGAAATTGATTAACTTCTAATTGTTGAATTATTGTAAATTTTGTTTTTATCGGTCGTACATTCGTTCTGTTTTAGATTTGGTCGAACTCGGTACACTAAAAGAAGTTTTTCACGTCAATTTTAATTTTAAATAATATTAATTGATTTCGAATGTTTCGGATAATTTCAATATAAAATTAATTCCTATTGGTATGAATATTAAGAAATTTACCTTATTTCTAGTTTCTTTATTTGCAATTCAATGATGATAAATGAAATAACACAAAAAAAATAATACTAATAAAAGAACAAGGAAGAATCAGAA